TGGCGTGGATGTGGCCGTTACAGTGGCACCAACTGTCGTCGTCTGATGAGCCGCTGCTGCTGACGTGGAAGCCACGGCCATTGGCGCTGCATTCACTGTGGCAGCAATACTCATGCTAAGATTCAAGCTGGACGTCTGGATCACGACCTGGCTGACTGGCGGAGATGGTGGCGGCGGTGCCAACGGGCTCTTCGTGGCAGACGAAGGTGTGCCTCCGGTGGTAGCTGTGGTCCCCGATGTGGGTAGAAACTTTACCGGCGATGGGCTTGGAAAGCTGCTGGTCGATGATCTCGGCAGTGGACTCCGCTCGTACTTGGGCGTCAGAAAGTTCGGGTTGATCTTGGGACATTGATACGCCTCGATGGGCGGCGGGTAAGTGGTCGGTGGCGTCTGATATTTCAGCGGCGATGAGCCCTGCGAGGGAGTCTTACTCCCCGAGGGTGTTCCGCCTCCAAACTGATGGGTGGGCGTGGGCGGTGGACGCACATACCCAGAGTGGTAGTGCGGCGATGCCTGCGGCAGATACGAGGAGGTCTTCTGGAAACTCACGGCACCACCGGCACTTCCAGGCAGCGCATAAGTGGCGGGTACGTTAAGGATCTTGGACGTGGGCACCGGTGGCTTTTTCTCCATGGTTTTGAGTGGTGAATAGCTAGCTGGCATGCACGGGAACATGGTACCCAGCGTTGGCGTAGCCTTGGCCGTCAAGGGGAGCATGGTCAGCTGGGTGGTGCTCGTGGTGGCTGGCGGTGTATTGGGCACCGCCAGCGAAGGAACAACCGATACTGAAGGTGTGGGCACTGAGATGGGCGATGGAACCGCCATTAGTTTTGGCGGTGGACTGGGCATCTTCGGAGGCGATACCTCCTTCTCCTTGGCCGCCACTATCGGCACCTTGATGGCCAGTGGTTCGTCGTCGGAGTCACTGAAACTCTTTTCCAGCTTTCGCTTCGTTTCGTTCAGTTCCTCGTTGATGAGAAAGTCTTCCTCTTCGTCGGAGTCGACTTTTGAATGTTCGGACTTGGCTTTGGGCTTGGCCTGTTGCTCGGACATCTTGGCCAGAGAGCCCTTCTTCACCAGCATGCCCTCGATGGGCGGTTTGGGCGGTGGAGCGGTAGCCGAAGCCTTGCCCTGCTTGGGCGGCCGTCCACGTCGTGCTGGAGGCGGTGGTTTCTCCTCCTCGGCCTCTGGTGGGGAGGGGGACGCATCCCTGGTGGCTTCTGCCGGAGCAGTAGCTGGCGAATCCTTGTTGGGTCGGGGCGACGGCTTACGGGTTGATTTGCCTGCCGAAAGCACCGTCGTGGCCTCCGGCACGTTTAACTTTCCCGCCGCATTACGCTTAATCTCGTTCTCCATTTTCTCCATTTCCTTGACGTTGGGTATGTCGGGAAAGCTGCTCAGCGACAGATCATCCTCCTCGTCATCGGCCAGCTGCAGTTTGTGGCCAATGATGCCCATGTAGATGGCCGCCGCCTCCTTGGTTTTGCGGGAGGGACGCTGCGCCCGCTGAGGCTCTAGCTCAGCGGAATCCTCCGAAGCCTTGCTCTTCGCCGACTTCCGAGATCCGCGGGCATTGGAGGCGACTTTTTTGGAGGAGGGTGGCGCCAACTCCTGCTCATCGGCTAGAGTGTCCTCTGCTTTCTTTTTGCCTGCTTTTCCCCTTTTCCCGCCACTGGGTGGCTCTTCCACTTTGCTCTCTGGGACAGGTTCTTTCTCCTTCTCCTTTTCTTTTTCCTTTTTTTCCCTAGCCTTTTCCTTTTCTTTTTCTTTTTCTATCTCTATTTCTCTTTCCTTTTGCTTTTCTTTCTCCAGCTGCCTTTCTTTTTCCATTTCTTTTTCCTTTTCCAGTTTTTTAGTGGCCGCTTTGCGATTCCTGGCCGCCGGAGCAGCAGCAGCTGCATTCTTCTTGGGACTCGCTCCTTTGCCGCCCTTTTTCAGCTTGATGGACTTGGCCAACGGCTGCTCATCATCCGAACTGAAATCGAAGACATTTAGACTCTTCTTGCCCTTGGTTCCAGCACCGTGTTGACTGTCCCCATTCTCCAGCTGCTGCTTGGCGTCTTTGGCATAAATACTGGAATTCGTCTTCTCCTTGGCTTCCTTGATCTGCTTAGCAGGCTCTGGCTCCTTTTCCGGTTTTCTCGCTGGCGGCTCCGGCTCCTTTTTGGGCTCTTCCTTTGGCGGCTCCTTGGCCGGAGGTTCCTCCTGATGCGGTGGAACCTTGACGGGCTCGAAAAAAGCCCGCTGCCTTGTCATGCGGCCAGAGGACTCCGGTGAAGGTATAAAAATGGGCGACTCCCGTTGCCTAACGCGCTTTACGGGCGCCTTATCCTTTGCAGCTGGCTGGGATTCCGCCGGTGTGGACTCCGCTGCTTTCTTGCTCGCCGAAGGTCGACCGCGCTTGGTGGGCTCAGCTTTCACAGGACTATCTGCTTTCGCCTCCTCACCATTGCGCGAGGTCGCATCATGAGCAGAGAAGAACTCATCGTCATCATCTTCTGCATCTTGTTCCTCCAGATCCTCTGAATGGTCATCATCAATAATGGGCTTGCTTTCCTTGGTGCTGGCACGATTAGAGCGGCGCTTGTTGTCGTTGGATGATGCTGGTGTCACTGCTTTGTCCGGAGTGGCACCAGCTCCGGCTGCACCCCTGCCTCGTGCTCCTCGTCGATTGCCATCGGTGACAACCTCCGCTCGTTTGCGCACCGCTCCTGGCAGCACAGGCATAGGCGTTGGCGAAGGAGTTTCCGGGACTACGGCTGCAATGAGATTAATTTTATCACTGGCTGCTTTTTCCGCTGTTGAGGGCTTATCAGTGGTCTCCGTTATGGGGACTACCGCTTCCACTTTCTTGGCGGCTACTTTGGCGGGGCGGCCCCGCTTTTTTTTGTTGCCTCCCAGGCCCGCCCTGCTATTATTGGCCTTCTTTGCATTGTTATTGTTGTTGCCTCCCGTTGAGGTGGCCTCGGAGTCCTTGGACTTGCCCTGATTGAGGAAATCCAAGTGGGCGGGCAGCGCCGGAGTGCCGCGGAAGCAGAGAAAGGTAAGGAAATCCTGCGCCTTGGGACACTTGTTGGGCAGAATCTCAATGGGCGGCTGGGAGCTATCTGCTCCGGAAGTGCTGGGTCCCGATCCGGATCCCGCTGCCGCTGCTGCTGCGCTGTAGGCGAGGCTCGAGGAGCTGCTGGGCGCACTTTGACCCTGGGCGAACTTGCGCTGAGCCTGCACCTTCGTTCTGCAAGTGGAAGATGACGAAAAAGAGGTGTGAGTGGTTTATAATTGGAAACAAGGCAACTTGATACAAATTGGAAAAGTCAATATTAATTTAAAATCAAAATAACAGCCGGGGAGCTTCGGATTACGAGTGAGCATAAACAGTGGTCTCACGTTAATATTCTTGAACTGATAAAATGTACCTCCGTTCAATAACAGTGCTTTGTATGATGGTCAAAATATTGACATTAATTCAACATCTATTTCTTGTTTCCTTTGAACGTAATCCTAATCGCTTTTAAAAGAATAACGTTTTGTTTTATCAATATTTGTCCATAAACTGATCATAAGCTTACAGTGACTTCTCAAATAAAAGAATCAATAAAGCAAAAGCATTGAGGTCACTATTTTGTTTTGAGAACAATTGTCAGCCTATGTGGCAGAAGCGAAAACATTACGATTATTTCATATAAATGCCTTATGTTCTTTAATTTATTTCACTTGCTTAACTATAATGTGGATATCATAATATCTAAAATTATACAGAATGTATTTATTGCATGTTAACATCTTTATTTTCCAAATTAACACGATTTTAGACGGCCTTAATTACTTTTACTGAATAGCTACTGTATGGAAAGCTATTTATTTTATTTAAGCATATATTTAAGACTTATTAATTTGACAAATGATTATTAACTTTATATTTATGTTGGTAGTACAATAAATAACCACGACGTAGTTAAATAATTTACAGATTTCCAATTCAGCTTAGTGACTAACCACTGTACAGATATTTACCTGCTCGAGGGGGAGATCTAACCTCACCCCTCTCCCCACATAAATGCGGATGCGAAACACCCCTTCGTCGAGGAAAACAACAACGCCACGACGCGCTGTTGACGCTGGCTTATACAACAACTGAGTCTCCCCTCCCCTCCCCTAACCATTCCCAATTACTTCCTCTGGCGTCGCACTCCCCACTCCCACCCCCTTCCATTACCATTCCGATCCAAAGCACCCAACGCTGCGACGTCATCTCCGTAGTGCCACACGCGTATGTACTTATAGTTTAACCCATTATCCATGGGCCATTGATAGGCTAGACTCACCTCTTGGGCATTTCGGGGGAGGACTCGATGGCCGCCACTGCCGCGGGAGGAGCCAGTGAGGAGGCGGTGGGCGGGACGGGCGCAGGCGGCGGAGGCGTCTCCGTCTCCTTGCGGCGACGCTTGTTGTTGTCTTTGGAGACAACCATTTTGTTGCGAACTTTTCGCGCCTCTTTTTCACTCGCCTCTGTTCTCTCGCTCGCTCGCGCGCCCGTTCGTACTTTGAATTATTTATTATTATTATTATTTATTATCGCGCATCCAATTCTCCGCCGGACTCTTCTTTATTATGTATAGATTTGCATATATATGTATATATATATATATGTATATCTACAACAAATAGCGTTTTTGTTGCTGCCTCTGCTGCAGCACGCAATTTTCGTATTTTCGCTTCATATTTACTGCGTTTCAGCGGCTGTTTTTGCCCATTAAATAAACACTAAAATGCTCTTTATTGTCTCGTTTTTGCGAAGTACACTCTGGGTTCACATTTCACACACGGCAATTGCTGCAAATTTTATTTTCTTTCGCGAGATTTGCTTGCACATATTTTTTTCGTCTTCTGCTTCTTCTTACACCGCTTTTGCTTTGTGTCATGGCGGACGGAAGCGTTGCCACCTTTGCGTTCAGGGCTGCAAAAACAGCTGGCCAGATCAGCAGGCTTTGTTCCGATCTGGCAGTCTCACTTTGTGAGTTGACAAAAAATTTGTGTGCTCTAAAAGCAGCATTTTAGTGCTTGAATTTACAGATAAAAATTAAATAAGTGGTCATAGACAAAATGGGCGACGGTGCTGGCAACTGGTGTCTCATTGAATCCGATCCCGGTGTATTCACGGAGCTTATTCGCGAGTTTGGTAAGTTATTGGCGCGCTTTACCAAAGACGCCGGCAAATCGGGATAGGAAAACTTACTAATGCAATGCATTTACAAACCAGGATGCGATGGGGCTCAGGTGGAGGAGATCTGGAGCCTGGACAGCGAGTCCTTCAAGAATCTGGAGCCCATCCATGGCCTCATCTTCCTGTTCAAGTGGGTGCAGGCGGATGAACCCGCTGGCAAAGTTGTCCTGGATCGCGAGAACATTTTCTTTGCCAAGCAGGTGATCAACAATGCCTGCGCCACCCAGGCCATCCTGAGTCTGCTGATGAACCTGGACCACGAGGACATTAAGCTGGGCGAGACGCTGACCAACTTCAAGGAGTTCTGTCAGTGCTTCGATCCCTACAACAAGGGATTGACCCTGAGCAACGCCAGCCAGATCCGCACGGTGCACAACTCCTTTGCTCGCCAGACACTTTTCGAGCTGGACATGAAGAACCAGAACAAGGACGAAGATGTTTATCACTTCGTTGGCTATATGCCCATTGGGGGAAGGCTGTACGAGTTGGATGGCCTGCGGGAGGGACCCATCGATCTCGGAGAGATCAAGCCGGAGCAGAACTGGATCGATGTGATGCGTCCGATCATTGAGAAGCGCATGCAGCGCTATAGCGACGGGGAGATCCACTTCAACCTGATGGCCCTGATCTCGGACAGGCAGCGCATCTACGAGCAGCAGATCGAGAAGCTCCTAAACCCGGCTCCCGATGCCATGGACACGGAGGAAGATCGCCAGACGGAGATCAGCAGTTTGCGCACATACATCCAGTATGAGATCCAGAAGAAGAAGCGCTACAAGGTGGAGAACGTGCGCCGCAAGCACAACTACTTGCCCTTCATCGTGGAGCTGCTGAAAATGCTGGGGAACATGGGCCAGTTGATGCCCATCTACGAGAAGGCCAAGCAAAGGGCGCTGGAGCGCGAGCAGGCACAGCGCAAAAAGGAAACCAACTAGGCATTTACAGTATACATATATCCCCCGCGGGCAGTTCCAAATTGCCTCGATTTCAAATAAATCAGAAAATAAAAATCAGAGATTGAAGCGAGGAGTGACGGCTTGTATCCGAGCAAACAACGCCCTTTAGTAGTTAGGTGAAACTGCCTTTGTACTGTACTTTAATTTTTATAATAATAAATATCCTGCTCTCTCTGCCAGTTAATCTTACGCATTCTGCGTGTTAAGCTAAATATATATACCTTATATGTACCTATAGTGAAAAATTTGAATAGAACACGTAAATAAACAGTTTGGGTAACGTAAAGAAAAACGCCTTGAGTTGTTTTTTGCCTTTGCTCGTATAGAATATATTTGGTATATATCATTTACAATTGCTATGTTTTTTGGTTGTATTTCTGCCTCTTTGCATTTGATTTTTGCGTATATTCACTTTGAATTTGATGCTGCTTGTTGTATATAATATGTATATTGTATATAGGAATATTTAGTTTGTTAATCGTCGTGTGCCGCTCGCCAGTTCTATGCTAAAAATTTGTCTCTCGTCTTAACAACTAGGCTCTACAAGTTACTTAGTATGCGTATTTAGGGAACTTTCATTGGGAGGTCTTTGATTTAGATTTCTCAATTTTGGTGTTGTCGCTTATGAACTAAAGGCTACTACTAATGCGGCTTTTTGGGGGCTTTCGGGATAATGACTGGAAGGAAACCGAAGCTAATATGTTTGTATAGTCCTGGCCAGGATTTGGCCATGTGGAAGTGTGCTGCACCCTAAGCGCTATGGCAACTACAGAAATATATTTATGTGTATATATATTCGTAATATGTATATGTATGTTGTATATGGGGTTACCTTTTGCGTATAAATATCTGTTTTTGGCTTAAACTAATATTTCTCCTGCCTGTTGCGTGTTGATTTCTGGTTGGCTTAATTGAATTTCATTCGATTTAAGTTAAATTTTGTTAACATTTAGGCTAATTTTACTAGTGTCTGGTATTTTTCATCTGGGAACCTCGGATTGTCCCCCTTTTGAATTTAGCACTTAGTTTTCAATGATTTCGCTCGCGGCGATTAAATTACTTTCTTTTTATGTTTCGAAGACACAACAGTTACTGGTCCAGTTCCAGGAAGAAGTATATGTATATGTATGTATATAAGGGTTCTCGGCTGATCTGTTTCCAGGATTGCAGATTTTAGATGGGGCTAATGGTAAAGCCAGTTTTTACCGGGGTCCGGCGTAACTGTATTGCAGGCCCGTGTGCGTCAATTCGTTGCATACTTCGCTACGCTGCGTCGCCGAGTTTAGGGCGGCGAAGGCGTGATGGGGGCGTGGCGTGGCCAGGTGTGCTTGGGAATTATGCTGGGTCGACTCATAGGAAGTTAAATCAATGCTGGGGGCTGTAAAAAAAAAGAAGGTTATTATCCACAAGAAACACATTAAATGATATGGATATCAATAACGATGATTTGACACATTATTTTTGATCTTTTTTATATACATATATAGAAGAAGTATTTAACAGCATGGTAAAGGTCAGTTTATGTTTATCGACTCATGCAACAATTTTTCAAATAGGAATATAATTGTAAATTTTCCAGGAAATTTTCAGGGGCTTTCTTGTAAAATTGTATTATCATTTTAATTTATCATTAATTAAATTTTCAAAGATAATAAGTTAAATTAAACAAATCGTTTAAATTAAGGATTAAATTCTTACCAGCGGCATGCATACGGTTATATAGATTTTTCCGCTTCTTCTTCAACAAAGTGTCTAGATTATAGCCCTCCATGCTAGCTCTGTAAAAAAATAAAACTCGTCTTAATAAGACACTTCTTGCCAAGATCAAGCCACTCAATGACTCACTTTTCGGGCCTCCCATTTCCCAGCAGCTCCTTGAAGGCCACATAGATTTTGTTTAGCGTCAGATTGGATAGCCCCTGGCCCAGATATCGTACAAATTTAAGTTGTTCACATTTGGATAAAGCGCTCTCGTGGAAGTCCAAAAAGGGTCGATGATCGGATATCTGATATTCCTGTTGAAATAAAAGTTACCAAAAGAAAAACAAAAAAAAAAAAAACAAATTCGGGGATAGAAGAAGGACAAATACGTTAAGAGCATTTTAATGTTAAGGACGGGCAAGAGTTTTGTTCATTGCTCTGGTATTATTGATGAGGATGCAATTTGGATATCTACATAGATGGAGTGCCAATGTTTCGAACGCCAATTTGGGGAAGGGGCCAAAGAACAAATCTCCGCTAGACTATAGTGGGTGCCTCCTGATCTCTGCTTTCGATACACTTTTGCTCACATTGCAAAACTTGATGAAGTTTTCGATGAGTATGTACTTTTCATAATTGCTCAGACATTGCTGGCTACTACTCTGTATACCGAACTGTTTCAATAGCTCCTGCTTCTTGGGCGGCAGGCGGCTAATGTGAGTGCAAACCCCGTCCTCGATCCGGTGCGTCTCGTGCACGTCGAAGTTCTCGTAGATGATGAGTTGCTCCAGGGATCTGGGTGGCGGACCCAAGGCCGGAATCGGCGGTGGCGGCAGAAGTGCCGACGGAGCTCCACATCCATAGCGCGGATCCATGGCCATCTGGTGTTGCTGCTGCGCCGTCGTAGCCGACACATAACCCGCTGGCATGGCCACCGGATTTGGATTGACCATTGATCCTGCCACCGCGTTGCTGCTGCCACTGTTGCTGCTACTGTTGCTGTTGCTGCCGATATTGGCGTTGCTGTTGCTAGTGTTGCTGCTGCTGCTGCTGCCGCCGCTACCGCCGCTGCTGCTGCTGGCGAACTCCAGGGAGCCATCATTGGCCGCCGCCATGTTTTTGAGGTCTACAAGAGAAGAGAATCGTAATGCCAACACACTCAGGAAGCCATATTCCAAAGAGGTGTGAAAGTCGTTTTTTAATCAAAATCGCCCCTGAGCTCAGGACAAATTTAGAAACAATTTAGTAACGTCAATAAAAAAATAAATCAATAATTTGTAGATATAGTTAATAATTAAAAATAATATTATAGAACAGCTATTTTCACTTTCACCAAATTAGAATGTTAAAAAATTGTTTTCACTTTAGTAGTTTAAAACAAGAAACAAACCATTTGAAATGTATTTTATAAAAGTAATTTTAACATATTTGTTCATTCATTTTTCAATAAAAAATAACTTTTTAAAAATTTTTGCATGTTGTCTATAACTTTTGCCATATTTTGTAGAAAAATATTTTACCAAAACGAAGATAAGTACGGAATCTGCTTCGCTGAAAGTCAAAGGCGATTTTTAAGCTCGCACTGATCGATGATTAAATGTCCCCGAGGTGAAGGAAAACTAAAAGCATTTATTGCAATATTGCAATCGCTCTTCAATTGCAAGACCATAGAAAAGGAAACTTTTCCTCTTTATTAATTGGCTTAGCGCAAATGCAGAGTCGCGACGCAGGCAATAAATCTTAAGTAAAAACAACAATCAAATCGATTTTCTCTCAATCGCTTCTTGCTAGGTGTGTATATATTTTCTGGGTTCGCAAACAATTTCCATATATATCGTATGTCGTGTTTAGTTAGGATTGGTTTTACATTAACATACATTTCATTTGTTCTTGGCTTACTAAAATATATATTTATATATATTATTACCATATTAAATAGCATTAGCATGATTTTCTATATTCGTGTGTTCGTGTTGGTGAGTGTGTAAAAGTGTGATGTGTGTGTGTGTTTGTGTGTGTGTAAATGTAATAATCTCTTTTCAAGGAATAACATTGCATAGTTTTGGAGTAATGATCGATCGTTGTCCAACAATTTTTTCTTTTATCGTCGTCAAACGTAATACAAAATTTGCATAGTTTTATAAAAATTTGGCAAAAAGCTTGTGTAAAATTAGTCTAAAATAAACGAAACATAAACTAAAAACGAGGAGCACATTACAAAATATAGTATGACGATGCACATTAACGGAAAACTATAAACTAGGACAGTATGGGAGGATAATGGGTTGCTGGTAAGCTGAAATCCTGAATCCTTGACATGTCCTTCTGCAACAGCCTACGAGTGTCAACAGGTGGCGCCACCACCGCTGCCCTTGGCGCCACGCCGACCCCAATCTCACATGGCCGTGGGCGGTAGCCCACCTCCGACTCCGCCTGCAGATCCGCCTGCGCCTCCTGTTGCGCCCACAGCTCCTCCAACACTAACTCCTACTCCTCCTCCTCCACCGCCTCCTCCAGCTGCCTGCTGTGTGGTTTGTGGTGGTCCCGGATAACCCATTGCCGCCATATGCTGGACATGCGCGTGCGGATGCGGATAGTAGTGCGGATGATGTTGCTGCGAATGCGGATGCGGATGACCATGGGCGTAGGCAAAATGATGGGCATGTCCATGGCCATGATGCCCTGCCTGATGGTGGGGATGTGGATGCGGCGATGGGGGATAGTGATGCGGATGCGTCAGCTGGGGATGCGAACTGCGCGTTGGCGTTCCGGGCTGCAAATGGTGCGGATGTGTGTGGGGTAGCGTGTGCGGATGCGAATGCTGGGCATGCGGATGCGGGTGCGTGTGCGGATGTGGCAACATATGTTGTTGCTGTGGCTGTTGCTGTTGTTGATGTTGCTGCTGTTGCTGCTGATGCTGTTGTTGATGTTGCTGTTGCAGGTGCTGTTGTTGTTGTTGTTGCTGTGGGGTGGTGGGCGTTCCAGTTGCCATTCCCACTGGCATTGTGGGCGTGGCAGGTCTTGTGCGTGGCACTGTCTGTGTGGGCGCTGCGACTCCCAACGCCGATGTTGCTCCTGGTGTTGCCGTTGCTGCTGCTGCTGCGGATGCTGCTGCTGCAAGTTTCGGTGTTGCAGGTGAATTGGGTGCCAGCAGTTCCTGCTCGGATTGCTGTTGTTGTGGTGTCTGTTTGACCGGTGTAGATGTTGTTGTTGTACTGGTGTTGTTGTTGGTCTTGTTACTGGTGTTGTTGGTGATATTGTTGTTGGTATTGTCGCCTAGTGATTGAAAGCGTATGCGTTGGAAAAAGAAGAAGAAAGAGGAAACACAAACAAATTGAAGTCAAAAATTAAAATTGTTTTCTCGTTTTTTTTTTGAGCGCGCGAAGACTAAATTGAATATTTTACAAAATTTTGCAAAAATATGCAGGCCAAATTGTAGGTTTTCTTTTTATTATTTTTGCTGTAGAAAAAAAACGAAAAGTGCACGAAATAGAAATAGAAATAAGAAGTGCAAAGTAGAAAAAAAAACATAAAAATGAATGTAAGCACTTCTAGTTTCAAGTGTATTTTTAAAATTTAGCACATTTGCCTCTCGGCTTTCATTTCTCGCTTTTTTATTAATTTTCCTCTGCCTGAATACATTTTCGGTTGATGATGCCTGCTGCTGCATTTGCACTACACGGGATTCGGGGATGGCGGAATCTAGGGGGATATATCTACCATCTATATTTAGATATAGATTTCACTTACCAGCTGTTGTGTTGGCCAGGAAGCGCTTGGTTTTGTCGAGTATGTAAGGCAGATTGTAGCCGTCCTTCGTGTAGCTACAAAAAAGGATATTTTTGTTAATTATAATAGCATGCTTTTAGGCTTCTCTAAGTTCGTCAGGATATTCAATTATAGGCTGATATAGGCTGATACTCACATTTCCGTGCGTTTGGTGCAGAACAGATTCTTAAAATTGCTATAAATGCAGAAGAGCGTGAACGTCGGCAGTCCCTGGCCCAAATATCGAGCGAATTTGATCTGCTCGGGTTTATTTAGACCACATTGGTTAAGCGACAGCCACGGTCTGTGGTCCTTGATATCGTATTCCTATTGGGGATAGTTAATAAAAGGGTATATTTAATTAAGAGCATGTTTGCAACTTCTTTTCCTTAGAAATATCTAACATCTTAAATATCACCTATATAAAAAACAAAACAAAAATTCAAAACCCTTGGTTCGCTAGGCTTTTTTCAATTTCAAATGGCTTTCTTTTTTTTCTCATATCGTTAATAAATTGTTTATTTAATTAAAAATAAACTTTATATGTATATATTGGCTTTTACAAAACATTGGAGACTATAAAGTGGAAATGCAATTTAAATTTCTGAAAATTAAATTAGAAATTCAACTCTAGTTGAAAAGTAATTTTCCAGACATTCCGGTTTTACTGGTTCTTAACACTCCTCCCCTGACAACCCTCCCATTAGTTTTAAACCAGCTTACACCTTTCATGTTAGAACCCACCCCCCATCCCACCACTTTTTAGCATAATTTCCTCGACTTTTAGGCTGTTTTTCCACGGTAAATGTGTGTGTGTGTGTGTGTGTATATATATTCATTGACGTCAAATTCTATGACTGCACATATGTATTTGCGTTACATAATGTAGTATATACATATGTTCAGGAAAAACCAAAAAGCGACCCTCACCCAACCCCCAAAACCCATACACATGCGAGCGAAAACTTTGCCCACTACTAATCAAAACTTATAATTCGTGTACAACGCAAAAGTTTAAAACGAAAATTTTACACAAAAGCCAAAAACTTGCAAAGGACGATGGTTGGGTTGAGGGCATAAAACGGGGGTGGTGGGTGGGGAAATGGGGCTGAATAACATGCCAAAGCAAAAGCTCCACACACACACACATGCTCACACCCTTACAATGTATATTTTATAGTGTAAAAATATAGAATAGGGCGAAGCGAAAAAGGAAGCAGAAAAGGCAGCAAAGCAAACCCAAATAGAAAAGCAAACAACATTTTCAATGAAGCCATTTTCCCCCAAAAATGACGGGGGGTCCTGGGATATTTGCAAAGGCCCCCCATTTTCAAAGGGTTACCATGAAAGCCTGTGTGTCTGTGTGTGTGAGTGTGAGAGTTTGAGAGTGTCTGTGTTTTGTCAGAGTGTGTGCGTTAGCTAGATGGTAGGCTTAATGGACGTCTGTGTGAGGGCAAGTCTTCGGCAGAGCAGAGAGTTCAGTTCCGTTCGTCGTCGGAACTTATCAACATCCTCATAATCAGGGCTTCCACCCACCCAGGGTTGCCACCCACCACCCCCCAAAAAGGGTCTCTCACACATGCGATTTGCTGACGGAGCTCCTGTATTCTCTGTCTGTATGTGTGTGTGCATACATTTTGGGTTTTGATTATGTTAAAAATCAATAGAGCAAAAAGGAGTGACGTGCCATCTTGCTTTTGGGGAATAGTAAGCGAGTAAGCGAGAACTTTAAAGTCTTTTCACACGGGCTGACATCCACTACACCCTGTCGTGTGTTTCTCTTCTTCAGCGTTGACAGCCAGCCGACACCTGGCCACTTCTTTAGGTGTCTCATTAACAAGCAACTATGCGGGGGCAAGACCGGTTTGGGGGTGTGATGCACATCATCATGGTTTTGGGGGCCAGTGCCGTGCTGTTGCTGCTGTCAAGCCGTGGTGTACCACCTGCCCCTTTCCACGCCCATGGCCACTCAACTGTTTTACAGTCAAAAAGCACAAAAAAGTTACAATACCAAGAGTATTTCGAACCACGAGGTACCCTGAAATTTGAATAAAAAGTTAGGTGGCGATTTGAAATATTTTATTTCAAGCCAAAAGTTACCTTAGTAAAACTTTTTTATCATTTAAGCTGAATAAAGACCGAAACAAGGTGTGGTTTTGGTCACATTTAACAATTATAATAACATAAAAATTACTAAAGTTTATAACTGTTTATAACGAATTTGTTGCATACTTTTTAGGGGTTTCTCCAAGGACTTCAACGAATTTTTATTCTATGACTATAATAATCATTCGATTAGATTAAATCTTGGTAGTTCATTAGATAAAAGGCTTGTTGTTATGGGAGTTTTCTAAGTACAACGGGCTTAAAGGTGGCGTTTTAAACTTAACATGTGTTGAATATCTTTTTTTAAGAATAATAATACTGTATAAAAACTAATTTGCATATTTTGAAGTTACAACTTTCCTAATTACAATATACCCTAGTAAACTACCACTAACGGGTACAAATATGAAGATAGAAAAAATAGAAACAGGAAAAGAATAAAAGCAGTGGCAATGTGTTGCGGTATTTTGTTCTTGCTTTCGCTGCTGTTTTCCGTTTCTGTTTTCATTGCGTCTCCTTGTGTTCGCTTTTTGTTTTCTATTTTTTTGTTTGTTTCCTTTTTCATTTTTTTTTTTTTTGCAAACTTATTGGCAGACATGGTTTGTGTTTGTGCGTGACGTAGTGAACTTGTGTGTGTGTGGGTGTGCGGATGTCTGCGAGTGTTTCGGGCGTTTGTGTGTGTGGCGGGATTGCGGTTGTTGTCTGTGGTGTGATGCGGTTTGTTGTTGTTTGTATTGAGACAAGTGTGAATTGTTTTCCTTTCTGCTGTTGCTGTTGTTGTGGGTGTTGCTTGTGCGTGTCGAGAAACAACAACAACAAAAGCCGAATGTTTGGCTGTTGCTGGCATGATTTTTTGATTCCTTTTGCGGGTGTTGCCTGTGCGTTAGTGTGTAAGTGGGGGCAATTTTCACACTTTCACTCTTTGGTGCGTGTGTTGTTCGCTTAACAGGTTTTTAAGGGGTTAAGGGTTACCCATTTCGATACCCCCCTGTCCACTCCCCCCGTACTCACCTTTCTCATTAGGCAACTAATTTGGGGTTCTTTTTAATTAAGGTAAACCCGTTCTTAATGCGCTCTAAATTCTGGAAAAAACGACCCACACTAATTTAATGTGATGTGTGTCCCCAAAAGGCGACAAAACGTTGCACAAAAGCTAAATATTTGATGTGTGCGTTAGAATTATACAAACATACATGTATGTATGTGCCTGCATATATATATATAAAGTCTAAATTCCTGTATATAGCCATCATATGCAGCACGTACAGTTATATCGGTATGTACCCGCATACATATGTATAATTTAAAATTATAATCAATGCCCCATATGTGCGCCTGCTTTTGTACATTTGTATGAGTGTGTGTGCGCGTAAATTGTGCGAAGCCGAGACATTGTACCTGCCCAGGCCCCACCCACTTCTGGCCCAACCACCCCCCATACACCCTACTCGTTTCTCATCCTTCCATCCACTAAGCTGTCCTTTACACACACACACGGCCGCAATGTTGGGCAAAACCGAGTGCACTTGTGTGGGAGAGCTGACTGCATGCGCACTTAGTAGCCTTCAACGCTGCCGCTGGGCGACTCACACACCCGCAGCCTCACTTACAGTCCAGCTTCCATAACTTTAAACTTTCAAAAATAATTATTTTTTTCCAATTAGACGTCTAAAAGATAGTTTGAAAACCTCTTCTTCTTTAATTTAATGTTAAGTAATACTGCAAAATAATTTGAATTGGTTTGAATATATACTATTCCATAATCTAATTCTATAAATTAAGATTTAAATGAATTTTTAGACATTTGTGAAATAAACTTTTACCCAAGAATGAAAATGTTAAAAGTTTTAACCAAAAACTCTTGTAAGAATTACTATTACTGCTTATATTAAACTTTGTAACTACATTTTTAATAATTGTTGGTTTGCTCTCACACATCCACGTTCTTATTTGAACACAGATTTTCAAATTCAAAGATAAGTTTTCTTAGCCAAGCCCCACTGTTATAGCGGTCGCTCCAATAGAGACATGTATAAAATGTGTTGATAAAATACAGACACAACCACACCAACATCGAGAGAGTCGGAAAAGGACATGCCCAAGTAGCTAGCGGACAGTCCAAAGTCTCCCCGCTTCCCTTCCTTCAATCCCAAGACCCCCCGAAGTAACTTGATGATTGTATGTATGAGAGCAAGGAGTGGAAGCCAAAGAATCTAAGGGAAAAGAAGAAGACGTCGAAGGACGAGCAAGCGAGGAGGAGGTGGATGTGGGGGCAACACACAATTACTCAATAGCAAGCTTTTGGGGGTTGCCCACACACACTCAACTACACACACTTTTGTAGTTCAGCCTTCAAGTAAGTTTTGAATTCAGGAAGGAGAGAGAAAGTGGGAGCCAAGAGAGAGCAGTTACCGCTGAAGAGAGAGCGCAACAATTTTGAGTTAGGGAGCCAAGTAGGTAAAAGAGAGCGTCTTAGAACTAAAATGTTGTAATAGAGGGAAGGAGGGCTTTTAGCTTCCTCTCTGCTTCGCCTTCTTCGTAATTTCCCCCAGTAGTAGTTGTTGTTGTATTATGCCATCAATGCCATTTTGTACATACATAGTTTGGCAAATGTATGTGTGAGAGGGCGGGGGATGCGATGGGTGGCCAACAAATCTAGATGTGACTCTGTGTCTGTGTATGTGTGTGATAAAGCGGAGCGTAATGAGCGTGGTGAGTGTTTGGGGTTGACTGCCATAGTGTTGAAAAGGGCGCCAAATGTGTCTGCGTGTGTTTGTTTGTGCGGGTGGGGGTTTAACCCCCTGCATGTATAGGTGTTTAGAACTCACACACATACACTGAGCACACATGATTACAGTTGTATGCTGAATTTGTGGTTGGCTGCAGTCGACGTCGACTGCGGCGCCGGCATCACTGCTCCTGTTATTACAATTTATAATGACATTTGTGTGAGTGGGGGGCAAACGGAATCCTGAATGCGTCTATGAGTGTGAGTTTCGGGAGAATTGCGCCCGTGTGTGTGATATAGGATATAGATAGGGTGCATGTTTATAATATGAATATCCCTATTTTGTATGTACTTTCTTTTTATAGGCGGCGGGTTTCCCCGCAAAGCGTAGTTAATTTTAATTTAGGGAAAGTAATAAATATGTACTCTAATATCACATATGTGTGTTCAAAAGTTATTTATTTTGTAATATTTTACCCACACTACCCTTTAATCTGTAAAAACCGACAGAATTCAAGATTTTTCGCAGAAGATTTTCATACAAACTTATAAATTGTTTTTAGAACTTGGTATATGATTTTATTTAAGTTAAGAATCCGTGGTGTGAATAACTATATATGCGCTAAACAACAATTGACATCAAAGAATGGCTTTTTTAACATGAAGAATTGACCTTAAAACATACTTTTGTGTGCTATCATCGGTTTTATCAGTTAGATAAGACAAATGATAGATTGACCTTTAATGAAGGCCTTTAGTTGAGTAACTTATCAGTAATTCGGTGTTATAAGTTTTTTCAATTGCTGACCCCCTTTAAAGTTTTTTTGGGTTTTGTTTAGTTAAAAAAGGAAGATTAATCTATATAATTGGTTAAGAAACAAAACCTTTTTCCTGTTATTTAGTCCAACGGAAATTAACCTCCTGATCTGAAATCGTGTGAGTGTAATCCCCACGGCCACCCTTAATTAGACCCTTACAAAGCCCAGTTCCCGACCATCATTACAAATAAATAAGTAATTCATACATATGTGCAAATATTTAAATTGCATATGGAAATGGGCAGCAAGCAGAGAGCGCTGAAATATTCACACACACTCAGGCCAAGAGAAATTTGATTCGCTAAACACCCCGAAACCTCCGAAACCCAACCCCTTTTTATTTTGGGAAGCGTAACTCACCTCGCAGAACTTGATGAAGTTCTCCACCACAATCGATTTGTCCGTTAGCGTCATCTGGCCAGTGAACCGGACTCCCAGTTGCTTCAGCGTATCCTTTTTCTTCGAGGGCAGCTTGTTCATGTGCTGGAATATACCCTCCTCCACTTTATGCGACGGATGCACCTCGAAATTCTCCTTGATCACAAAGCTTCCGAGGAGCTTTGGGGCATGCGAGGATGAGGAAGCCGTCGAGGAGGAGCAGCTGGCTCCGGTTAACAGTCCACCAAACTCCCCCGCACTGCCGCAGGCTGCTCCTTCGGATGAGGTGTTCGAATTGGAGGCATTGAGGTGCGAGTTGGGAAACGCCAGCATCTCCAGCGAGGATTCATTTGAATTTGAGGATCCATTGGAGGCCATTTGTTGCAGATCAAATATCGTCTGCTTCGAGTCGTGATCAAAGACATCTAGAGCGGAGGAGCTGGTGTCCACCAGACTATTGGAAGCCCGCGAAACGGAAGACAATAAAGCGGCCACTTTGCGGGAGGCAGAGCGCGATTTCTGCGAGGTGCTGGTGTCCAAATCAATCAGACCACTGGCCACTGGGGATTGGGCAGGCGGTGGAGGTGTGGTGCCTGCTGGGATTCCCTGTGGTTTTCCACTGCCGGGCTTTTCAGGACAGGAGCTAGTTTCGCTAGTGGCGCTGCTAGGTGTGCTGGGTGTGAAATCCGTCGAGTGGCGGAGATACTTGATAAACTCAAAGGACCCATCGAAATGCTGGGGCACCAAACCCGCTGACGAGGCGGTGGATTGATGGCCATTGGGCGTGGCCACCGCTGTGGGCCAACGATTGCTCGGGGGGGTGGCGGTTAGGGGCGTTGATCCTGCTGCTCCTGCGCCGGGATTTAAGGCCGGTGCTGTTGCTGCTGCTACGCTGGCTTCGACGCTGACCGAGGCAGAGGCAGAGGCAGCGGCAGTGGCATAGTGTGCGGGATTAACAGAGCTACCTGAGTTGACAGCGGAGGAGTTTTCCCGCTGCGACGACGCCGTTGCATCGTAATTGGGAAAATCCGCTGCTGCTGCTGCGCTGCCATTGGGTAAATGTGTGTGGGAATACTGCTGCTGATGTTGTTGCTGCTGCTGCAATTGCTGCTGCTGCAATTGCTGCTGCTGCGTCGGCGCGCCTGCGCCGCAGCCGAACACTTGAAATTCCTCGAAATTAGTGCATTTGAGCTCGCCATTGCTCAAGTATTTGGAAAACTCTGAAGGATCGTTGAGCGAGTTGAGGAAGAAGGAGCTAAAGTTGCTCGATATGCAGGACATTTTGTTGAATTGTTTTTTTTTTAGGGTAATACTGTACGTTATAGTTTATTTAAAGCTTAAAATGGCACATGCGATATTTCGAAATTTTCTCTCGTTTTTCTCGTTTTTCCGCTGCTTCTGCTGCGGTTCATATTTTATTACAATTTTCCACACTCACAGCGAGGGAAAACACATGTGTGTGTGGGCCTCTCCCGCGTGTGTATGTATGTATGTATAAATTTTTCTTATTATAGCAAAGTGTAATTTATTATTCTTATTGCTCGCTCGCGCACTGCCTTTCGCTCCTTGAAAAAGGCCTTTTCCACCGTATGTGGTCGCTTCTAGTTGTTGTTGTTGTTGTTGCCGCTTTCACATACACATTCACAGAAGAGCCTGGATATAGGCGCTTTTTGAAACTGGTCTGGTCTCTTTGGGGCCTGTCTTTTTGCCTATTTTATTATTATTATTATTACTTGGCCTTTTTGCACTATTTTCACTTCCTTTTCGGCCTTACGTTCGCGCCCACTTACACACAGACAGGCTGTAGGCTCACAGACACAGAAACAGACACACACACATACGGCGAGGCGCGGTCGACAGCGGCGTTACTTTTCCGTCTTCCTCTATTTTATATTTCGTTTTTCTCGCTCGTCTTTGCTTTACTTTCAAAACAAATGCCGCTAGTGCTTCTCTGCTTCCATACGGAAAAACGGAAAATCTTATCGTTGTTGGTGTTGTTACTGTTGTTGCAGAGTGTTTTCACCGCCGCAAGAAAACACGACATTGCCGCAACACACACGAAAGCAAAATGAGCGAAAAACATGAAAGCGTTGCGTTTATGCTCTACTCTCCCGCTGCCTCTGCCGGCGCCGACGTTTTCTTTTTCCTCTCTCTCCGTTACTGTGTTTATGGGAGGTCCTTTTCATGCACTCAATCCACGAAGACCTGTGGGCTTAATTTTAGGAACACTGCGTTTATGGGAAATCATGTTCACTCAATTCATAATTAATGCATAAATGTCATTTATGAATTATATTATTATATATTATATTGATGAATTATATAGGTCATTTATAAATTTATATAAGATCGTTTATTAAAAAATTAATATCGTTTATATTATAATCATAATCGTCACCGAGTCGCTTATTAAACTCAACGTTTTTAAGAAAATCACGAAATTCATCGCATAAACACAGTGCTCTCTCGCGCTCTCTCGTTTTCCTCTTCGGGTGCGAGTGTAATCAGTTGTAGGTGTGTAGTTGTTGTTGCAGTTGTTGCTGCGCTAGGAAACGTGTATTTCTTCCTGCGCCATGCTAACCCTTTCCATATAAACCTGATTTAATCTTTGATTATTGTGCTCTCGCTGGGGGATTATGGCTGCCGCCGTTGTTGCTGGCTTTGCTATTTTTGAAAATTCCACTAAATTATCCGTTGTGTTGCCCACTCTCTCCTGTTCTTGTATTTATATTTTTTGTTGCGCGTTTTGGGCAGGTAAAACAGTTCATTTGTCTAGGGTTGCCACATCGTTGGGCGTTCGGCAGGACCACCTGGAATGTGCATAAAGTTTTATTGCCGTTTTTACAGTTTCACATTTACGACATTGGGATCGTAAAACACAAGAACAGGTAGCGATCTTTCCAAGGCCACAGCTGCTAGTGGTTGGCAACTCTGGCAAGCAGGAGAGTTTAGAACCTCCAGTGGAATTTTTTTATTCAAGGAATTTTTATAGTCGTTTGTTTGAATAAATATAATTGCCGCAGCAGACGTTAATTATAAATACAGCAGTGACCGCAAGGAAGTCATCAATTTAAAAAAGCTGTCTCTGCATTATTGTTATTCTAATTACCCCTTTCGCTGCTGATGTTTTTGGCACAATTTCGTTTTCAAATTCAAAGCAATTTATTATATTGTATGTATGTTTTCACATGGGGAACTTGTAAGTACATAACAAAACTTATTTAATAGGCTTTCACACGCGGTCAGCCAATTTACATGTCTGTACATGCCAGCGCACATATGTGAGTAATTTTTCAATTAATTTTAATTATAAACTTAATTAGGAAATCAATGAACGACGCAAACGGAACACTACGGAACATACACGCACACATTTTACCGCTGTGCGAAGGAGACAGCGAACATCCGATTCCAAACTACACAGCAACTAAAACAATGACAACAATTGCCATCAAGTGCGCTGCGCATACAGCATAAAATCATCCACTCAGCGCCAGTGGAGCCCCGCGAACAAGCCCCCAAAAGCGAATTTAAGCGTCCGTTGAAAAGCGAACACGCCGAAAAGTCGAAATCAACTGAGCAGTTGGACAACAACAACACAAATAGGAGAACAAGTTGCGCCAATGTGCCAGGGCTGCCAGACTCTTTGCTACAGTCAAGTTTAATTTTATAATTCGAATTTGGGATTTAATTAAAACTTTAAAATACAATAATTTTCAGTAGTTTTTTTTTTTTTTTTTAAATAAACTAAATATTTTTGAACTACAATTTGACCACTTTGTAACCGAAAACTAGCTAAATCTAGCTACAATAGTAAAAGGTGGTGCACCTAGTGGTGCTCATTTAGCTATAACAGTCAACTGGCCAGCACTGTTGGTTATCGGTATCGGCGACCGCTTAAAACGTGCGGGTGGGATTATTCATTCCTAAGGTAAATAAAAACTCGAGCCGGCATGAAATTCGCGATTGAGAGCATCAAAAAGAATTCCGGCCGTCTCGGAAAACTCCGGATCAAGGATTCAGGACCCGAGCTCAGGACTCCACTCCTTTTGCAGACAACCAAAGGCGGCAGTATTCCGTGGCTGAGTTCTGATGTTTTCGAAAGTCATGTCAGTCGGAAGCCACAGGTGCTTCAGTTCACCCTTTCCACCATGGACCAAATGGCAGAGGCACTCGCTCAGTGGAACAGTGGTGGGGGTCGGGGATTGAGCGACTACGTGGGATTACCAGGACACTTAAACATCCTCCTGCTGCGGGATCCCTGTGAAACGACGCCTTCGGGTGGCAACGATCGGGATATACAGCCACTCTTCACGAGAAGGGGTAAGGAGTCCCTCACTCCGGAGCGCTACATGGAAATGGTGGCCAGTTTTAAACCGGACCTCTACCAGGGACTCTGTGATGCGGACACAAATCTAGAGAGTGCCAAGAAGCGGGTTCAGAAGTCGGTGGACAGGACCGAAAAGTTTATGCACTATATATATGAACATCGGGCAAATGTGGAGTCCACACTGCTGGCTCCGATTGTGGGTGGATACAATACCTTTGCCCGAACGCAGTCCATCAAGCATGCCCGGGAACAACCAGCGGGCAGTTACGGAGGTTACATCTTCGAGGGATTTCACACGAATGGTTTGTCGGCTACGACTTTAGATTCTTCCAAACTACTGCCCATTGTGGAGCACTGTGTCAAGCAGCTGGAGGAGGACAAGCCTAGGATAATGCCAGGAGCATTTGCGCCCTTAACCATTTTGGAGCTTATCCGCCAGGGAGTGGATGTGTTTGACACATCCTACGCCTATTGTGCTTCCCAGAATTTTAAGGCGTTGACTTTTAGCTTTGTGCAGGATGCAAAGGAGCATGTGCCTTTCTTGGACATAACTGATGACGCTATCAAGGAGGATTTTTCGCCGCCCATGAACAATTGCAGCTGCTTGACCTGCCAGAAACACACGCGTGCCTACTTGCATCACCTTTACAAGACCAATGAGTTGCTGGGCCCTATATTACTGATGGTGTAAGTGGTTTATCTTATTGTAGATAATAAAGGCTTTAATTGTTTTTATAATCTCTTCCAGTCACAACCTGCATCACTACATCACCTTCTTTGAGACAATACGTGAGAGTGTGGCCAAGGACAAGCTGCCAGAGCTGACGGAGCTCGTAAGGAATCAGAATACAAAATCCCAGGTGGATTATTCCATTGCTGTGAACACCAAAGTTATTACCAAGGCCACCATGGGCAAAGGATTCGCAGCGGCAGCAGTGTGACAAAGACAATCAGTAAAGTTGGTCTAGAAAGAAGCCTCTTATTGTTTATTTGAAGTGTTTCATATCGTCAAAGGAAGGTCCCAAAGAGATTGTTCGCAACCTTCGACAATTTTCGTTATTTCTTCATACACAGCTTTTGGAGCTTCGCCAGTGACAGTGCGGATCCTGTAGAGCACTTGTAGTTCTGTTAGATTCTCCATTTTATCTGGATCTATTAAGGGAATTGTAAGATTTAAGTTTTATCCTATTGCTATTAATGTGTTTGGCTCACCTGGCAGCGGAATGTAACCAGCCAACTCGCAGAATCCCACATTAAAGTCAACCAAATCCTTGTTCACGCAGTATTCGGATCGGGCAAACACGAATACCTGAACGTCACCGCTTTTGCCCTTTCTCCGATCCTGAGTGATGAACAGATTGTGCGGAATATTGTTTTGGCACATCCACATGGCCAGCTTGTGGAGTTGATCAACCTTCTCCTCCACCTGTTCAGTGTTGTCTTCTTTGTTGAATACTATACAGATGGCTTCCGTGGGTGCCCTTCGACTCAAACGATAGACATGGCCACCGACCAGCTCCTCTAGTGGTGCCTGATCTATGTACAGATCCTGGGGCATGTGGAGCAGGTGAAAGTGCAGGTGGTTTACCGAGGCCAAAGCCCCAGGGCTATTATAGCCCATGCGTATGTTTTTGTCATCAATACTTCGCATAAAAGTGATGCAGAAATCCAGAACATCTCGGGTAATCTTTTGGACATGGTTTTTTCCCACTTCCGGACAGATAAGAGTGTGATACTTGGTAATTGGACTCTTGTTGATGATCATCTGGACTTCAGGACTGCCGAAGGCATCATCAATAGTCATAATCACCTCCTGAGCATTGACTTTGTTGAAGTTGAACATAGTGGGCTTGAAAGTGGGATTAAGGTTCTCGATGGTCTGCGGACGACGGCGCTTAAGGGAACGGTCTGCATTGAGCTGTTGGAAAACAATGGTTTGAGGATTTATCTAGATAATACGAATTAACATCTCACCTCGGTGTAGAAACCCCAATGTCCTGGTATTCGTCGGCACTGTGGCGTTTTATGCAATTGATACGAAAACAGCCCAGGAATCTTGTGCAGCTGCTCCCACCGCACCTTAATGGCGTTGAGATAGTTCTGCGCTCTGCCCTCCAAACAGGTCTCGTACCTGACCTTGCTCATGGTTCTCTTCCGGCTCGAACGCCTCACCTCCTGATCATCTCTTTGGCTGCATTCAGCGGACCGGAGGATTACCAGCGGTAGGAGAGTTCCCACCCTTAGGAAACAGCTTTTGTGGAAGCCGGAGAACCGAAAACTCCGGAAATGGGCTCTAAATGTTTGAAAAACATGGCGGTGTATTCGGAAAAAGGCTCGAAAATGTCGGGAAAACATCAAGTTTTGAGCTGGAAAGAAAAAATTGAAACCAAAATTTACTAAAATTTCAAAGCCAAAGACTACCTGACAACCCAGGTAACCCAAACAGCTGATTGCTGGCTTCAGGGGCGGAGCAATGGGGGGCTTAAAATATCAATGAAATAAAAATAAAAACTTTATTTTAAATAAAAGCAAACAAAAAAATATGCTTTTCATGTTCTCCAAAACCAGACCGAAATACCTTTACATCAATTGTCTGTTATTGGAAAAAATTAAATATATTCGCCCCAAGAAAGTTTATTTTTTTTAACTACCACCCTGATTTAAGTGGTCTTCAGCCCTGGTTTGTTTGTGCGGGTGGAATCTGTTGCACGGAGTATTTATCAACAAATGGCTCAAGTTCGAGGTTCCTGCGAAAGGTTTTGTCCTGATGGAGAGGCCAAAATGTGCGTAACACATATAAATAATTGAAATCCAACTAGTTAGTATTTTTTAACCAAATAGGCGCATTCGCGAGAAACTCTTGCACTACTTCGAGCTGAAAAATGGCCAGAAGAATAACCCCGGAGTCCTGGTCAAGGAGTTTACTCGCTCCGCTGCCGATGCCAAGATGCCACTGCCCAAGGAAATGCGCACAGAAGCTGCACTTACCAAAACAGTGGAATATCTGCTTAAGGAGCAAGTATTTGCTTATAAGCAGTAGCAAACTTTACAAGCTAACCAAGGAACTTTATAGCATAATCCTGGACACCCGGAAACCCTTTAATCTGGCCTATGATTTCATCTTTGATCGATTAAGAGCTGTGAGGCGGGAGATCGTCATCCAGATGTACGACGCCCGCCAAAAAATTCGGCTTCTGGAGCCCATTGTGATGTTTCTGGCCTACAGTCGCTATCGGTTGTGCGAGGAGTCCATCGAGAAGTTTGATCCCAAGATATGCAATCAGCATTTGCAGGAGTGTCTCACAGGAGTACTCTGCTGTTATGATGAGCTGGAAGGGCAGGCATCCTCTAAGGAACCTACAATTCGGGAACTAGAGCGACGTTGCTTTATAGAAAGCCTGTATCAGGTGTTCAATCTCGGCTCCCCTGAGTCCTTTGCACGAGCACTCACATTACCGGATTTTGTGCGTCAGGATTCGATCTTTAAGCTTTGTTTTGCCATATGCTTAGCCTTTCAACAGGGGAATTTGTATAGAGTGCTTATGGGATTTCCCCAGCTGCCACATATTCTATGCGCCGTGGCAGCCACCAAATTGCAGGCAATAAGAAGGTATTACACCTCGCACAACTGTTCCAAATTTGATTTGATAAATCCTTTATGAACATTTTCAGGAGTTTGCTGCAGGTTTTCACGCATGCCTACAACAACAAACAGCTCACAGTGCCGGTTCCTTACTTGTTGCGTTTACTGTTAATCGATTCGCCGGCTGGACTTCAGGATCAGTGTCGGCATTATAATATTTCCTTAACTGGCGACAGGAAGGCGGTGCAATTTAATAAGACTGATTTTAACCAAACCGCTGAGCTATTGAAGCCCCAACTCGAGCGCTTTGTGGAGTCAAAACTCAAGCGTATTTATTTGCCGGAAGTTTTGTTGCTAAAGAAATTAAACTAGTTTTTAGGCACTGTCATATACATAGATATCAATTGTAAATAAAAAAAACCATTGAAATTAATTGTTTTATTTACTTTTTGTTATTGCGCATTTAATTTGCGCCGGGTGGCAACACCGCTGGCAGAACAACAAACCCAAACCTATCGCCTATCGATAGACAGAACGCCGCCGTATTTACAGCTCATAAACAGCTTACCAATTGAAGGTTAATAAAATTCAATTAATTGCTAGTAATTATATTAATTATATGATGTATTGAGGAGTAATTCAAAGTGGCTTAGTGATTAAAACCTCGTTTACCGCTCGACATATACACAAAGCGCGCGCAGGGTTGCATTTTGTCGCCTCCTCAGTCGCACACACCAACACACACACGCAACGCGAGAGAAAGTACCCGAGCCGTTTCTGGAAAATACAATTCCGCCATATTTACCGGCAAAATTCAAAATATTTACACTTCCCGAGGTGAGCGGGATCGGTTGGTCCATCAAAATCGAGGATTAACCCGCCGTTGGGCAGCCGGAGAGGAGCGAGGCGGGCGGAGCGAGCGGTACGCATCAATCGCCGTCTACCGCCGCCGCCGTCGCACAATAAAAACGATAGACCCATCGAGTGGCGGGGGGAAAAAACGCCAATACGCCAATACCGACAAAAACAAGTACGTCTTCTCGAGACCCAAAGATCTTGGATATATATACTATGGATTATTGGTCAGGTACTAATTGTCCACTTTTTTCGCAGCACGCTCGCACACACACGCAAGAGGTAGAGCGCCCACAAACACACTCACACACAGATACAGACAGACACACAGACGGAGCAGCCGCGATGACAAGTCATCATCATCATCATCACGTCGGCGTCGGCGTCAGTGGGAACAACTTCCAGCCGCAGCTGCACCAGCTCCGGGCGCCCATTGTCAAGAATCTGTCGCTGGCGGCGGCGGCCGTACCGCTGCCTCTGACCTCCTCCAACTCCACCTACTTCACCCACGTACACCCATCGACGGCGGGCACAATTGTGGAGCAAGATCCGTACACCGTTTTGGCGGGCGATCACATGGGCGGAGAGGAGAACGAGAGCTTTCTGATCGAGGAGATTATCGACGACTATGACGACGAGGCTAATATTGTGGTGGACACTGGGGAGTTCTTCGAGCACTACGAATACTATCCGGTGGACCGGCTGGACAGACTCACCTCGGTCACGGTGGCCACGGCGGATGCCCTGCCGCCGCCCATCATCATGCAGCAGACCAGCGACGACGAGGAGTACATTGAGGAGGATGGAGACGGCCTGCAGATGACCTCGTCCTGCGATGGCGACGGCGAGGAGGAAGCGGACGATGAGGTTTCAGCGCCGGCCATGACAAATGCCTTTGAGATCGCCTCCGAGATGCTAACCACCATTGAGGCCACCAACATCAAGGAGGAGCAGTTGGAGAGCGACTTCTACATGAAGGCAACAGAGGATTCCAACAGCTCCAATGGCCAGCTGCAGGATTTTAAGCTATTCGGAACTAGTCGCGTGGAAAGGCCCATTGGAAATTCGGCCGCCAAGCGCTGGAAGCAAACAAAGGTACCCATACGCATTACCCAGGACGAGTTCAATGTCACGCTGTGGTCGTCGCTTAACTCGGAGGATGAGGACGAGGAGGAGGAGTTGGAGGAACCACCTGGTTCTGCTGCGGCCACATCTGTGACATCCGCCTCCGCCAGTGCCCAGAATGAAGGCTCCTCCAGCATGCCAAAGCTCATTATTGACGAGCACATGATCAACCACGATGTGCTAAGCGATGGCATCGGCAACGAGTACGTCATCCTGCCCGATCCATTCAGCGCCTCAGCAGTCACAGACGTGGAGGAGGTCGTTAATGCATTTATGGGCGATGTCAAGGGCGAGGAGGACAGCCAGCCGCTAAGCGAGCAGTTCATCTATGCAGACAACCAGCTGGAGGAGGCTTACGGCAACATCGAACTGATCGAGAATATGCCGAATAATGTGGAGCTAATACAGGCGCCGGGACCAGGTCCAAATCCGGTGCCAGTGGCACTAACAAAGAGCAACGGCTACGTGGCGAATCCACAGACGGCTCTCCCAAAATTAGTGCTGCAGAATAGCAGCACCAATGTGCGACTGAAAAGTGCGGGCAACCAGGCAAAGGTGACCAAGACCAAGACCACGGCGGCGGCTCAGGTGGCGACACTAACGCCACCACCGCCGCTGGTGGCTACCAACAATCCAACCCGACCACGACCCGCAATTCTGACCAAATTGCCGGCAGTAGTTTCCAATCAGACTGCTGGAAATCCCACGGAGGGAGCTGCTGCTGCTGCCGCCGCGGAGGATGAGGAGTCCAAGTTCCGCTGCACCCATCGCGGCTGCAACAAGGAGTTCCGCAATCACTCGGCCATGCGCAAGCACATGCACACGCACGGACCGCGCGGTCATGTGTGCAACGTCTGCGGCAAGAGCTTCGTGGAGAGCTCCAAGCTGAAGCGCCACCAACTGGTTCACACCGGCGAGAAGCCCTTCGAGTGCACCTTTGAGGGCTGCGGCAAACGCTTCTCGTTGGACTTCAATCTGCGCACCCACGTCCGGATACACACTGGCGACCGACCCTACCACTGTCCCATTGACGGCTGCTCCAAATGCTTCGCCCAGTCAACGAACCTCAAGTCGCACATGCTGACGCACACGAAGCCCAAAAGGAAGTGGCCTCGGGCGCCGCCGGTGAACAATAATAAGACACCGCTGGTGGCCAGATACGGACGACTGGAGTTTGGCGAGGATCCGCGTCTGGTGTACGTGGAACAGAACGAGGAGATGGCGTCAGTGCTGCTGGATGGCACGTCCCCCACATCCTAACTAGTAGTGCGCATCAATGTGTCGCTACTGTTGGCCTGAGATGGATGAGAGCTCCTTTGGCTCCGAAAGGGCCACTTTGTACAGTTAGTTGTAGCCAGTTTTTATCTGTATCTGTAACCTAATGAGCGGAGTGGCAGGTCGAGATGGTCACCTGGTGAATGCATCCACCTGCTCTCCGTTCTCTAAGTAAATAGTCTAAGATCTTTCTCTAACAAAGCAGGCTTGCAGTGCAAAGGAAGTTATATGGTAGCCATTGATTTATTTCCTGCATGGATGGAAATACCGGATAAACAGCCGTTCTAAGAGTTTAGCTTGTAGCGTAGGCTAAGTTAGTCCTACCCGCACCCCCCACAAACCGAAACCGAACCGCAAATCCCGAAGAACTCAGCCAAACTGCCCCCCAATTCGATCTGATCCTAACCGAGTGCGATCTTCGCTCGAATAACAAAACGCGCACGTTCTTTTCTACGAAAAAAAAAAACAGAAAATAAGGAAAATACACATAACTAGTTCTACCATAATTCAGTACGCATACACCATAGGCTATCTATATATTTTTGTAATGAATTGTAACACTTAGAGCATTGAAGTACGGATTTAGCAAGATCAACGTCTGTTGGCGCTAACAAATAATTCACAAATGGAAGCACATCAGTTAAGTCGGAATAAACAAGGGAATACCTCTTCAAAATTAAACAAAATAAACCAGAAAAACAATGCAATTTATCATTTTTGAACTTTTTCACAGTGCGCGATCGTGTAAAGCGTTCGATTTATTTACTGATTATAAACGTGTAACTAGACCTAGATGATAACTACATTAAACAGTGGGGCAGCATTTGATGGACAGCCGCCCGCCAGGTGTTGTCCACTTCAGATTCGGATCGGACGACGATTAGATCGCCCCTTTGGACATATGTCGCCTATGTATGTAAAAGTGCCGCCCGTACCGTACTTTCTTCCCATTGACTGATTGCGGTGTGTAAACGCGTGTGGATTAGATAAAGCTTCGCGGCGATTTTGGATAATATTGGAACGGAGGAGAGCGGTACGCACGAATGGGCGGTCTCTTAGGTGACCTTGAGGCCCTGTCCTTGAACCCCGGGCAATATATCCGCCATGGAGGCACTGGGGCCTATTAATCCGGTCAGGGAGAGCAGTATGGAGTAGTTGAAGTACCAGAACACGCAGAAGAGCACCATGAAAATGACGTCTGCGAATGAACGAGAGCAATAATAACCCCGATAAGCGTGAAAATTCTCATGAAGCATGACGAATCCCAGATATTCCCCAGAGTTTCGAGCTTTTTATTGACCAGTTATTGAAAACTTACGTATTGTTATGCGCTCCCACTTTTCCACCATGTACAGCTCGGTGACCTGTAAGTAAATAAATTAAATTCAATTCTGAATCTGGATCTGCATCTGGGGGAGCGCAGCTTCTCAAGAGCATCATATGAGTTATTTAATGGCCATTACGCACCATGAGGTATCGGAACCACCAGTAGTTGGCGAATTCCACGAGGTTGTCCAGCATTGCGGCTTCCGAATCGATTAAAACAGCGAAAATAGGGCAAACAATAGGGACGGCGCAGCGCGTTTAATTTTTTTAATTCCTCCCACTGACTTTGTACTAACTTAAACAGGGTTGAACAACTTGGAGTAATTTAGCGAGACCAGTGTTGGGCAATGTTCGGGGAACGGTACTTACAGCAGGGCTGTCAGCTGCTTTACGGATTAAATGTTAGATCTGCTAGGGAATTAAATATAATTTTGAAAATTCGGCTGATTTTACTTGCAGTCTAATTTTAAAATTAGAGTTAATACACAAACTAAATCTAAATTTACATAAATTTTTTAATACCTTCAATTGGCAATAAAAGGTTAGGTATAATAATCAATTAACTTTTAGGCAACTTGTCAACCCTATATTGTTTACAATTTATTGTGAAAATCAAAAACTAATAAAAATGTCAGCCTTTGTGGTTAAATTACTGCAGCGAACACTTTCACCCAGTCAAAAGGACGTAAAGCCTTTTATTTATGTCCGGAGCAACTGGATGGACGACGAGGTAGAGTTTGACTTTCTGTCCACTTCTGATAATCAAAACTACCGGGGAAGTCTCAAATACGAGGAGCTACGGATTGCAGCCAGTGATTTGGATCAGGCATATAATGACTTCTTTGCTGAGTGCAAAAAAGCCATGACCACGCACATGGGACTCCAAGGATTCGACTACGATCTTTCCATGGAGAACGGCGAGCAACAAGTCTTCAAAATGTACAAATGCGAAGGATACGAAACGCTATATTTTGAAATTCCACTAAGGAAAGTTTCCAATTGTTACCAATTATTGGATGCAGCCATAGAAGCTGGTCAACAGAAGCCTCAAGCACCTCCAGCCCCCGAATCCGATGTCCAGAAAACCGCATCCCTCGCTGAGTATGAAAAGTATGTAAAGGATTCCAAGTTGAAGGAGGAGTTACTTCTTCAGAAATTCCTACTGCTGATAAACAGTAAGAAGGCGTACATCAGGGATTTGGAGAGCCAGTTGGAAGAGCTATCGAAGAATCCCTCGAAAGAAAGAAAAAGTCAAAGGATTTCGTCAGAAGACGAGGACGAAGCCTACGGAGCAGCCACTCAAGCCATGAATATAGATAATGATTCGGATTAGAACCCAAAAGTACATAATCTAAAAATCCCATATTCGGTATGTGCTTGAAATGTATTTCCTTTTTGTTTTAGTTTTTTTCTTTTCGATCGTTCGATTTTGTAAAATAAATTAGCTTTATAATGTATGTATATATGTATAAATAAACAACAAATAGACTTGTAACGTAATACATTAAATTACCATCAATGTGTGTAGACGTGGCTTATAATTAGACCAACAGAAGATCGCATTTTGGAATATAATCAATAGTTATCGTTGCAGTTTTGTAAAAATTAAAAGCATTTTACATAAAGTGTTAATATGTATCTGCTATCATATAGACGTTATGCGTAATTATGTTAGGGTGTGTATAACATTTGAAAGAGTAAACAATTAGAGCCGATGATGGTGCTGGCAGAGATCACTCAGAGGGCGAGCAGATCCTCCTCGGCGCCCGGTTTCTTTGGTGTCTTTCGTAAGCTGTCGACTCCGACGGATCCAGATCCTGTCGTGGCACTTGCGGCGGAGTTCGATGCATTGATCGTTGGAAGGTTTTCGGCGGCAGCGGCGCGCTCTTCGAGGAATTTCTCAAACTCCGAGCTTGTCAGTTCCTCAATGCCCTCGATGTGCTGTTGTGGAAACACAAATCTCTCATTAGTCGCGTTTTATACTCAGAATTATGTGCCAAAGGCAAAGAAGCAAAGCAAGAGTATGTTAATCGAGAAACTAAAGCCGAAAGTGCATGGTAAGATGAGCTTAGGAAAAGGCAAAATGCTATTCGTATGGCTACTTACTGAACTGCCCAACCACGCCTCCATCTCGTCGATCTCATTCTCTTTCGTCGACTGTGTGTGGGCGCCAACCGAACAACAAAACGAAACGGAAACGTAAACCAAACGCAATTTGCATAAAACAAAAGAACCAAAATGTTTTTCAAATTTAAATTCAAAGTGTAAATCAAATGGCCAAAACAAGGTCAAAAGTAAGGGAACAAATCGAACGCCATTAGTTAGACCGACTGCCTGGCGGCTAGTTACTCACTTTACTTACCACCGGCGGATCGCCGGCTGAGCGCTGTGGTTGACTCTGTTTATAAGGCGAGGCGGTGGCCGTCACACTTCCTGCAGCAGCGTCCACGGATGGAATGTCCCTTAACATATCCGATTTACTAAAAAGAAAAAGGGTGTTTTTATATGGTGCCCCGAAATGGAGTGCAGTCTACTCACTGGTTGCCATCGGTGCGCGACTGGGCCAGGATATCGAACTCATCGGTTGGTCGTGCTCCCCTCTGGACCCCAATGGGTGCTGGTGCTCCTCCACCCAGACTGAGCTGGCCCAGACTTTGCGGCAGTTGGGCCTCCTCGCTGCTTTCGATTAGGTCGATCAGCAGCTGGTCGCTTTGCGGCGTATTGCTCACGGCAGTAGTTGTGGGCGGAGGTGGAAGGGTGGCCACTGTGGTGGCTCCTGCTCCAGCTGCTCCCACCACGGGCAGACCCATTGCAGCGCCCAGCACCGCCGAGGGCGAGGTAACAGCGGCTCCCTGGCCCTGTGAGCGAGTCTTCTCGTACCGCTGATGGCGCAAAAACACGTTATTCAGCTCGTCATTGATGCGTAGGAACTCCGCGGTGAGCTCGTCGTCCTGGACACGTCCAATCAGATCCACGATGCGAGACTGCATCTCCTTGCAGGTGGAGGTGAGCTCGTTGAGCAGGGCATAGTCGTCGGGCGACTCCTGGCCGGGCTTCAGCACACTAAGCATTTCGCTCAGGATGGACATATTGTTGCTAACGATTTCCAGTTCGGAACGCAGCTTGGCCGCCTGTTCGGGAGTCAAATGCAAAGGTCCTGTGCTGGGTGGAGCGGCGGCTGCAGCAGCGGCAGCGGCGGCGGCAGCCATGTGTTGAGGCGAGATTGTGTGCTGCTGGGCGGCCATCAACTGCGTAGGCAACTCGGGAACACTCTGAATGGCGAATAAAAGGGTTATTAACATTAAAAGTAGCATTTCATTTCCAAGAACTCACCCTCTGTGGCGTGTAAATAGGCGCCATGGCATCCAGATCGTTGGCTGGGAACTCGATGCCCTTGTTTTTCAGTTCCATATACATCTGGGTGACTCCATTTAGATCCGGCTGGTTCTTAAACGCATCCGCCCAAATCTGTATCAGGCTGAGAACCTTCTCCTGCATGGCAGCTGGTGGATCGTTCTTGGGGCCGATCAGCTTGACCAACTCGTTGATAAAGTCCTTCTGGGCCACCAGGACATGAAAGGCCTTGCCGCAGTTCTTCACGCACGTCTCCAGGACGGTCAGCGCGTACATCACCACCTGGTTGTTCTTGCCGGCGTTCTGGGAGAGTCTTTTGCGAATGGCGCGCATGGCATCACGGGCGGTGTCCGAGGATTCGTTGATCATGTCGCAGATCTCCATGTTGGCGGCCCAATTCTCCGAGGCCAAATTGGCATCGGTGGCGGCCTCTGAAACGAGAGATTAATTTCAAGTAGGAATTAGTTAGAATCTAGATATATTTTTAAAATTCTCTTTAATTCTTTGATTCTTTTACATTTGTAATATTCTTTAGTCATTTAAAAGTCAATAATTCTGGCGTCTAAAAATATGTCATAAAAATGTTGTGAGTAAATGTAATTGTGATTTTCACGCAAACAATATTTTGCGTCATCCCTTTTTATAAGCAAACAAGTTTTATAAAAATTTAAAATTTCTTCGAATAAATCTGATAAGGAATAGTAGTAAAAAAATTATTAGTTCAACCTAAAAATAAAATGTTTTAATTTTTCGGTAAAATTTGTGTCTCTTAGGAACTCCTAATAAAAAGTTATTTAACAAATTCAGAGTCAATCGATTAATTCTTAAGATAATCTAAGCTGAGAACATTATTTAATGGAATTTATATAACTTACTAAGTAATTGAATTTCTTAGAAAAGATCCATATAAACATACTTTAGATGTAGAATTAACTTGATCTACTGAGCTTAGATTATAACAGAAAATACAAGTATTTCAGCACAAAAGATTTTATCAATAACAAAACAAATTTCAAAATCGTTACTTAAATAATTGTCTTGCTTTTAACCGCATTTAAGAATTAACAAAACATTTTAAAATTCACATCGTTAGATTAACTTAATAATAATGTTAAGATCATTTTGCGGTTATGGATTTGAAATATATAATTATTTTAAATGATCATCATTATTAGCTGTGTGAATACAGAAGTTAAATATATGCATTGCTTTGTTTATTTTAATGGCCAGCTGGAATTGGGTTTTTTTTTAACAGGTGGGCGAGTATCTATGTATATATGTAATTTAAGATATTCCGAGTGCAATGACTTGCTTATGTTAGATTAAAACGCACAAACAAAAAGTTGAAGTGCAACTCGTTTAAATCCAAACAACTGCAAGCGGGCAAAATGCATTTCTTGGATATCGGATATCCAATATCTAGAGATACAGATACATATGTGAAATCGGGTAAGCGAAACGGAAAAGCTTACCGCAAGGCAACAACAACAAAAATATGAGCAAATAAAAAATATGAAGCAACAAATTAGTAAGTCACCATTACAAATGCATAAATAAAGGTGTGTGAGTATTTGTGTGTAGCGGCAAATGGAAATTATGGCGAAAATACGAGGCAAGGGAAACCAAATAAATTAACACATTTTTTTATGTAACCTAGCGGTTAACGGCAACGATGACTAATTGCCATTACTACGGGGAGGGAAAGGGGGAAGGTTTGGTGGCAAAAAAGCAATCAAACAAAACAAGAGCGCATCAATAACAATACCGAAATGCGAGTGTGTTTGTGTGCGTGTTAGAGGTGAGCAATTCCAAAAAAATCATACAAACAAACAAATTATCTGTGTGTGCAATGTCACACCTGGCCAGTTGAACCGCACACCCACAAAGAAGTTAATCTTATCAAAAACACACCGCCTTTGAAACCAAATCAAACTATTTTGCGGGTTGATAACAGCACCGTACTTTGCCATAGTAATAGTGGGCAACAACAAATCGGTTTTTTCATGCGTGTGTGTGTGTGCGTACAATCCGCAAGCAAAGTAAAGCAAAAAAAACAACAAAACAGACGATGAAAGTTGTGAAAATTCAATTTTCCAATGGCCCAGTCTAATTGGGATTTGCATGAATCGCCTTCTAATCCGACAATTGACATTGCAAATGCGCAAATCAACGCATATGCGTTGTATTCATGGAAAATGTTACGATTTAGCCATATATACACACCCCCGCTTCCGGTGGGTGGTTTTCGACGAGGGGGAAGGGGCACTCACCTATGCGCTGGCCAACTGGAGTGGAGAATACATTTCCCAATGCGCCAACGTTGAAGAATGAAGCCATCGTGAAGCGGTTTCTTGATGCTTTTCGCCGTCTGTTTGCGATGCGGTGGAAATTTTCCTTTATTTACTTTTTGTCACCTGGAGTAAATGTTTATGCACTTGTCTACGGCGGTGTGACCGTCTCTGGACTCTTTGAAAAATACCGCCTGAAAAATGCACTAAAATAAACCAGTCTGCTTACACTACGGCTGATACCTTGCGTCTTGGCGAAGAACTTAAACTGTTAACTTATTACAAAATTGTTGAAATAAACCATTAATAAAGAAAATCATGTTAAGAAATATTTATAAAATAACTGGTTTGTTTATGTCAACATATATAAAATTTAAAAAAAAAACCGCGACTCATGCGACAGTCACACCCCACCGTGACTGCTAACCGATGTGACTGCAGCCCTGGCGAATGTTGCCGTGATTCAGCACTGTACCCTGGCAACCCTGCTCTGTAAAAGTCAGAAAAACAGAGGATTTTATTTTCAATTGGACAATTCGCAACGTAAACAGCAGGAAAATGTCGCGACAAGCCTCTCGCCTGGACGCCAAGAAAGTGGTAAGTTATTCGAGCAACGGGGTCGGTAAGTGGGGCATTGGTTTTCTTAGCCATAGATAGTTAGTTCTAGTTGTAAGGTTAGTTTTTGCCTAGAGCCTAAGAACGAATCTTTGACGTGCCACCCACCCTCAAAATCGGCTTCATTCGCTTTTCCAGTAAGTGTGTGTTGAGAGGGCTTGAGGTTGACACGGCACAAATCGCCGACCTATCGGGCTATGGAAAACCATTTCAGCGCCACCAGCCGCCCCTCAGCCACGTCCAGAATGAGCTCCACCGTCTCCGCCGCCGCCGTCGCCGCCGCCGCCAACAACAATAGCAGCAGCAGCAGCAGCAACAACAACAACAACGCAGCAGCCGGCAATAATGTGAATGTAAATACGGCAGCGGGAGGTGCCACCAATGCCGCCGCCACTGCCCAGCCGATTCAAGTGATTCCCATGCCCATGCTGCCCGCTGGAGCGGCCCAGATCATAATTGGCCAGCAGGCCCAGGGTCAGGCGACGGCGACGGGCCTGCAGCCTCAGTTGATACCCCTGCAGGCCAACCAGATCATGCTGCAGGCGGCCCAGCAGCAGCCTCAGATGCAGGTGATGCAGCTGCCCGATGGCCAGACCATCTTCTATCAGACACCCACCATTGCCGCCCTGGATCCGAATGCAGCGGCCACTGCTGCGGCCGCCATGGCCGCCCAACCCACGCCCCACTATCTCAACATCAACGGGCAGCTGGTGCAGATTACTCCGGCGGCTAACGCCAATCAGGCGACACCCGGCGCTGGTCAGCAGATCATCATGGTGCCGCAGACGGCCATGGCGGCGGTGAATGCAGCGGCCGCCAGTGCCGGAGCCACGGGAGTGGGCACAGTGGTCACCCAACAGCAGCAACAGCAGCAGCAGCAGCAGGCTCAGGCTCAGGCCCAATCCCAAGCCCTCCACCAGCAACAGCAGCAGCAGCAGCAACAGACGGCGGCAGCGGCCAGCGTTGCTGGCAATAATATAAGCGCCGATGTCAGCACAAGTACCACTGGGACCAATACGAACAGCGAGGACGAGAGCTCCAAGGGCGAGGCGGATGAGGAGCCGCTCTATGTGAATGCCAAGCAGTACAAACGCATCCTCATTCGGCGGCAGGCCAGGGCCAAGCTGGAGTCGCGCATTCCCAAGGAGCGCTGCAAGTATCTGCATGAATCTCGCCATCGGCATGCCATGAATCGGGCTCGGGGCGAGGGTGGTCGCTTCCACTCGGCGCAGGAGAAAGGCGATCAGGATTCGTCGGGTCCGGATAGTGGCAGCATGCCCATGGCGCCCAGTGGCGGCATAACCCTCAGCCGGGGCACGGCCAGAGCTCCACCGAAACTGATTGCACCACATCAAACGCCAAGCATTACCATAACGGCGATCAAGTCGGAGTAGTCGCTGCCCAGCTGTAGATACAAACCAGACTAGATTGTAGTTTATAGTCTTAAGCCAGTCACTCTGTGTCCCTCCACCCTGTCCTCAATAACACCATGTTGGCTTACACACAGCTATCGGTTCAGATTTGTAATTATTCATTTCGAATATCTAGCCTTGTTCCCTTTGTTCAACTTCAAAATAATGCAATAGTATTGTATTTTATTGTACAGCTAAAAACTTCAAATGTTATTCATTTTTCGAAAGCTTATCAGATCTTTTCCAATTTTCTCAATTTATTTTCGATTGCAAATCTAAAGATTATGGCTATTGTATTTTTTTTTTCTATGAACTAGTATACAAAACTTATACCCTAAAAACTGTGCAATTATTTCGCAAACCTTTTTGAAATGAAACTGGGAACAAGACTTTTAAAATAGAATTCAAATTATATGACAACTCGTCTATTGAGGACATATAAGAACACAATCAATCAATACACCGCATAATAAAAACCAAGAATTGTTTATGAACTTAAAAATACATTTCTTCTATACAATTTTGTAATGGTAACGACCCATAGAACGTTTCATCCTGGTTCTGGATTGATTTTTATTTGCTGTCTGCTTTTCTCTCTTCCTCCTTTGTACAAAAAACAAAAAAAAAAACACACAGAACTCGGAGTTCCTGACACTCACCTATGGGGCACTTGTCACCCAGATGCTGCGCGACTTCGAGAACGCCGAGGACGTGAACAAGCAGCTGGAGCGGATCGGCTACAACATGGGCATGCGCCTGATCGAGGACTTTCTGGCGAGGACGTCGGCGCCTCGCTGCCTGGAGATGCGCGAGACGGCCGATCGGGTGCAGCAGGCGTTCCGCATCTACCTGAACATCCAGCCCACCATCTCGAACTGGTCGGCGGCCTCCGATGAGTTCTCGCTGCTGTTCGACAGCAATCCGCTGACGGAGTTCGTCGAGCTGCCGCCGGATCTGACCAATCTGCGCTACAGCGCCATACTCAGCGGCTGCATCCGTGGCGCCCTGGAGATGGTGCAGCTGGAGGTGCAGTGCTGGTTCGTGCAGGCAAGTCTGGCGCAATTTTCATTGTTGGCTAATTATCTAAGTGTGTGTGTGTGTGTTGGTGTGTGCTGGTGTGCTTGTGGTGTCCTTTGCAGGATCAACTGAAGGGCGACAATGTGACGGAACTGCGCGTTAAGTTCGTGCGGCGTCTAGAGGAGGTCATACCAGCTGGCGAGGATTAGAAAACAACAAACAGTGTGGATCAGTGGATCAGAGTTCTTTAGGGCGGGGGGTCAATGAAAGCACATTCTGTATAGAATTTAGCATCTACTTTTCAAACTGTAGTCCACATTCCGCAGCAAAAGCATCAGCAAAATGAGCAACAGCATCGGCAACAGCAGCAGCAACAAGCAACATCCACAGGAGCAACAGCGGCGGCAACAGCAATATTGGAGCAATAAGAATCGTTACAACAAGTTTAGTTTTATGCTTTATTCGACTTTATACAGATGATTTAACTTTGGGTATACTTGTATAAGAGAACAATAGAAAATATGTTTCTATTCATATTTGGCAAGATATAAAGCTTCATAAACTCGATTGAAAAAAAAAACACAAAAGTATTTGATAACCACCCATAGATATTACGTTCCTAAAGGCATTGATCGCTTTGGATGTGTGGGGTAGTAATAAAACATAATTGTTAGTTTTAGATAAACTCGAAGATATTCTAACATGTTAAATATTAAAAATGTACAAAAACAAGAACGAGCTTTAGATAAAGGGGAGCTGACGGCATTCTATTAACTATCTGGTCGTACATATACATATATCAATTGGCCATATACTACATAGTCTGCCATGTTTTTTATTGTCCGATAAGGTGGTCATATCTTCCCACATTATATTTATGGCAATCTGTTTTTTTTTGTTTATCTGCTCACCGGAAGCTGCTTTGGATTTCTACATACAAACTTTGGGGTTCATAACGATTATATTAGTTGTGGGGATAGCTTTTATAATGTAAGTTGTAGAGCGGCCAGCCTCCGCTGGAATCACATTTGATTTAATCGATTCGCTTAAATGCACTTTAACAATTTCGGTTTTTTTTTTTTTTTTTGGTCTCTTGCATTTGTTCTTTATGGGGAAAATATCTTATAGAGGCACAATACTTGATTGATGATTGAATTCTCTGGGCTCTGGGCTCTGGGACTTGGGGGTCTTTGGGATTAGTGTACATAGGTAGTACTTAGTTTAGTTCTGCTGTGGACAAAGCATTAGGTTCAGATTCCGGCGCGTCAGAACTTTGCGGAGCGCTTGCAGCGTTTTAATGCAGATCACCACGCAGCAGCCGTTTGCCACGCCCTCCGCCGGACTCTTGCAGGTGCAGGCGTTGCCCTTGACGGCGACAGCGGGAACGGGAGCGCTGCTGATGACTGGCGGCTCCGGGGCTCCTTTTCCCCGGCCAGAACAACAGCCGGAGGCTGGAGGAGGAGCAGCAGCAGGAGCAGCTCCACTGCCGCAACAACCACCGGTGGAGGGAACACTCCGCGGCTGGGCACAGCCACAACCTGTCTTCACGGGCTCTACAGCCTTTGGCTCTCCACAGCAGCCGCCGGGAGAAGGTGCTGGCTTGGCGGCTGCACCGCCTCCGCAGCAACCACCACCGCCGCTGCCGCCGCCGGAGGAGCCACCGCCACCGCCACCCACGGAAGCCAGGTTTTGCAGCAGCAAAGCAACATCCTCGATGTTCTGGTTCATTTCCGCTTCGCGTTTACTCACTTTTTTGGTGGGCGCCACGCTGCCGCAAATGCGTTTGCCACCGCTGCGGGAATTCATCGATGTGGTAGTAACAGTGTTGATCTTTTGGCCAGCTGCTGCAGCAGAAGCAGCAGCTGCAGAAGCACCACAGTCGCCACCGTGACAGCTCTTGGTCTGATCGCACTTGCAGTTGGTGCAATTGCAGATGCCCGCATCCGCTGTGATCTGCTTGAGCGTGGGCTTGTTGTCCCGAATGTCCAGTTCCACCAAACCCGAGGCATCGCTGGGCACTTGGGAGGCCTGCTGCAGTGTGGCCTGCAACAGGGCGCTGTTGTTGTCGATGGTCATTAGGATGTCGTTCAGCAGCGACTCCGTTTCCATGTCCTCCTCGTTGCCGAAGCTGTCCTGCTTCAGCAGCTCCTCGATGTTTTGTTGATTCAACTCCAAGGTGGGTGTGGTCAGCGTGGGCTCCACCGCGGCGGTGGCGTCCACCTCCATGGTCTCCGCCTGCGGATCCCCCATGTTGCCGCTCACAGCATGGCCGAATGTGGGCTTCAGGTCCACGAAACTGGGCATCTCGGTGGGCAGGGCCACGCAGGCATCGGTCAGCGGAGCCATGGGAATGATGGGCTTGGAGACAAGGACGCCGGCGTCAATCCACGGACTGGGTAGTTCCTCTTCGGCCGCAAAGGAGAGCTGGTAGGCCTGCGAAGTCTCGGGTAGGATCAGCGGCTCATTGCCCTGGAGGACGAACACATTGGAAAGCTGCTCCTGCGGCGTGAGTGTATGGAGAACCACTCCGCTGTCCGTGCTGGTGGTTTCGGAGCAGTGACTGCCTGGATTTAGCACCATCACCTCCGTCGCCGACTCCGCTTTGGGGAGCTCCTCTTCCTCCGCCTCCTCCTGCTGGGGATCTTGTTGATCCTGTGGCCTGTGCGTCTTCAGTGGCCTCTTCTTGCGGCCCTTGTTGAGCAACTGCCGCTGATGCGTCTTCTTGTGAGACTTGAGGCTGTGCGAAGTGCTGAACGACTTCTGGCAACTGTCCTCCTGGCAGGGATACGGCTTTTCGCCCGTATGCGTCCGCCGGTGGGTCTTCAGGTGGTGCGAGGCGGTGAAGGCCTTGCCGCAGTCGTCCTCCAGGCACTTGTACGGCCGCTCCTGGGTGTGGGTGCGCATATGCTTCTTCAGGTCGCTCAGCGTGGTGAAGCACTTCTGGCACAGCTCGCAGTTGAAAGTCTCGCCATTGTGCAGTCGCAGGTGGGCGTGCAATCTGTTGGTTGGAATCGTGGTGATTAATTAACCCTGCATTGCAGCCATTGGTCTATTCCGCCGGCTATCAACCTATCAGTCCGCCGGAATGGACGACGACGACGACGACGACGATTGCTCACCTGTAGCGCGTGTTGAAGGCCTTATCGCAGCCGGTCACTTCGCACTCGTAGGGCTTCACCTTCGTGTGGACGCGGACGTGGATCTTCAGGCTGTAGGATGTGAGGAAGGCCTTGTGGCATCCATCTTCCGGGCATTTGAAGCTGTAGTCGCCTGGAAAGCGGGTAAACGATCCGTTACATGGGGAAAATATCAAAAAAAAAAAAAAAAAAACATTAAAGTGTTTACATTGCCGTAGCATGAGCGTAGTCGCAGAGATTTTAAAGGGGATACATTTTTTTAATAGCATTGCATTTGCATTTCTACGAGCTCAAGGCATTGAGTTTTGCATATTAATGATAAAGAAAAAAAATCATTCGATTTCCTTTAAATAATGATATCCCATTACATTTCGTTAAACAACTTAAGAACTTTAAAAATATTTATCCACGAAAAATGTTGATTGTTTTTGTTCGCAAAAGCTTATAAAATAGCGGGACACAGTCTTTGTAAGAGCACACAATAAAATAATATAAAATTAGAATTTTAAGTTTAAAACCAATGTTAATTTAATTTAATACATTAATGCTTTTTGCAACTTCAACCCCCATTTCCACTTTGCTACGCCGCTCACTCGCCAGTGTTGCAAAACACTTGACGTCAGCTGTTCACTTGCGCTTGTTTGCTTTTACGCAGCGCACGTACGCATTAGTATTCTGCGAAAATTTGTTGGTTTTGAAATAGTGAACAAATATGAATTCGTTCGACTACAAGCTAATTAAAAGCGTTAAGCACCACAATTGTATATACAAAAAAGGCCAATCACCGATTCTCTCGCGACCGGTAAGGGAGCAGGCTTGGATTGCAGTGTCCCGATTTTGCCAAAAACCAAGTAACTAAAAAATATCCTTAAGTAGAAAAACACCATTTTGTGCTAATTTCCCCAATTTAAACAGTTAGGCAATGCCAAATTAGATGGAAGACCCTACGAGATCGGTATGTGCGGGAAATTAAAAGGCCCACATCTGCCAACGGCATTGTGCATTTGTCCGAGCAACTGCACTTTCTCAGGGATCACATAAGGCCGAGAAAAAGGTACTATTACTTTACTTATTTAATGCTCTTATTATTAATAATTATGTTTGTACATATGTGCATTTTAGAAAACATAGAAATAAAACCAACTATGAAACCGACGAAAGCAATCCCGACGACGACTCTTTATTAAACGGAAAACACGAGGAGTGTAAATCGTATAAAAAAGGTAGAATTACAACGCGGGAAAACAATCCAGAAGAAGAAAACAATCTAGATGAATACTCTTCAGCAAGGGAAACCCTCATTGAGCAAGTTAAACAGGAGTTGTTAATTGAAGATGACGAGATCAAA